TCAATATTCAACTTGATTTCTTATTCTATGAAAATGAATTAATGAGAGTATTAAATTTAGTTATAGTAACTATATATTTTGGCTTTACTCTGCAATACTAATAATTTCTAAAAATATTTTAGTATTTTTATTTGAGCTTCCAATTACTAAATTTATTTAATGCTCAGCACTAAAAATTGAGCTTCCAATTACTAAATTTATTTAATGCTCAGCACTAAAAACTTTGCCGAGTTAATATGCCCCATTTGCAGAGTATGGTATGGCAAGCAGAATAACTTGTAGCATTTTGTTTGTGGCCGAATCGACGACACGTGACCTGGTCACGTGGCCGAGACACCCTAGGAAAGCGGCAAAGCGGCAAAGCGGCGTGTCAACTCGCATGTAATCACAACAAAACATGTGGCCGTGACTCGCTTTGGCTATCGGGTAACTAATATCTGGCCATACAATGAAATTGCCATTAGCCGTTTAATAGTTGCCTGTTGGCACATCCCACGGCTCGCCGGAGGCAGAAGCCGGAAGCTGGAAGCCGGAAGGCGTAAGGCCTCTGACAAGGGGGCGGGGCACTGTTGCTGGATATCTGCGGTTGGCCGCGTGCCGACGCCTCATCATTCATGTGGATGTCGCTGTTTGCTGCTCGTTTAATGTTCATGTAAATTATGCGCCAAAAATTTAAATTCCAAGCATTAGAGATAACATTTTACAGAGTTTACAAGCCGTGGGATTTGTTTTGCGGCAACACCCATTAAAAATAAAAAAGTGGGCAAAACAAAGCGCGGGTTGTTTTACCCCCGATGCAGCAAAGAGTCGATTCCTTCTTTGGGTCGTCAGCCCAAACACGTGCTACAATTTTTGATGATGTTCGAGCTGATATCATAAAATATCTACCATAAGCGAGCATTAGAAATTTATTGACATGAGTTTAAAAAAAATCAACTGGAAGAGGTAAACAAATTATTCAATAAAATATTTAAATATTTCAAATATTCTCTTTATCCAAATAAGCTTGTTGTTGTATAAATGCTGCATGAGCAGAGTCCTTTAGTTAAAAATCTGATAACAAAGTTGATAAACGTCTGATCTGTGTATGCTTGTTATATGATATCTAAGAATCTACATTCAATACTTGGTATTTATTTCTCATAAAATCTTCGCGACATTCTTAAAACTTTAATGATGAACTATAAATTAGTTGTAGATGCTAAAATAATAAAAGAAATCTGTTAAATGGGCTGGTATATGTAAAGGAATTAAAAACATGACTACAACAGCTTCCCTCCTATAATAATTGTCAATTACTTACACTAGCTATAATCATATCAAACTCACTCAAAAAAAATTAAAAATAAATAAAAAATAAAAAACAAGTTAATTTCTCCCAAAACCCTTTTTCAATGTATCAAGGAAAAGTTCTCTGCTACGAGTTCGTTTCCATGCGACTCATTTCATCTGTTCTAACTTCTGCTTCAGGCGCCTTTAGACTCATCCTCCCATTTCAGAAAAGACGCAACGACAGACCCACAAACACTTATATATATATTTAATACAAAACAACAGCAAATGCAGCTTTGATGATCGAACTGGGTCGACATATTGTAAAACTATAAAAATATATATATATAATTCGTGCAAATCTCGAATCGTAAAAATTGCGCAAAATTTCGCCAATGCCGAAAAACCGCAACAAATTGCGGCCCAGTCGGCTCGGAGGCGGGCGGCATTTGGGGTAGGGCGTGGCAAATTAGTGGCAACAACACACGCGAGTAAGCAACATAAAAATGCGACATAATGTGGCAACAGGGCTGCCTGCCTCTGTGGCTGAGCCGTGCTCCCGGCCCGGCCGGTGTCGCAGGGAAAACTCATAAAAAATTATAGATTTTCATCTTTTTGCATATTTAACTTTTATCGCAGGCCGTTCTCATGTGTTGCCTTATGCGTCCACAGCCTGAAGTAGGCATAAAACAAATGTCATACTCAGGAGGTGGTAAGAAATCATATGTCGCACCACGCCAGGCCCTTACCCACAAATCCGACTCAGCCATAAAGGTGTATTGTGGATTTTTGCATAATCGTCAATTCCTGATTTTAAAATTTGAGGGGCGTATCAGTACACGGGCACGGGCATTGGCACTGCCATGCCCTGCCATGGTCAACAATAAAAATTCATTTTTACAATCTTTACATGTGTTACCAGGGCACAACAGTAACAGCAACAATAAATATTTATTAGTATTTTACGATTGATTTTAGTTAAGGTTCAGGTATTGAGCTGTTTCGCAAATAATATCATTAAGATGGAGAGAGACTTAAGACTTTTGACGAATATATATGTATTATACAATAAGACTTTCAGGTCAGTTTTTATTTGTCTATTGCTTGAGATTTATTAAAAGTCCATTGGCTTAATATTTACAATAGCCCAGCTAAAAATTGCAGCAGTTATTTGGGGCCAGCCAGCTGAACCGAGCTGAATCTAAAAAGGACTTACTGCAGGGACCGCAAAATCTCTCTGGGTATAATCCACAGCAGGTAAAGCAGCATTTCGCATAACCAGATAAGCACCGTCCACATGGTCCACAACACGCCCTCGGTACTGGAATTCCACAACCAAAACGTCAAAGCGTCATACACATCCCAATCAGCTACTGATTGCGATGATTTGCTGGACTATCGCAAACAATTTTGATAAAGCCGAGCTCTGTAAAGCTCAATTTTCAGCTTATACTGCTAACACTCATCATTAGTCTAGAGTAAACAAAGACCCGCTAATAATGGAATCATACTCTCAGCCGGGTTTGGAAAACTCACTTACATTTCAAACTGAAAAAAGGTCCTCCCATACAGACTTACAATTTTAATAAAACAACTATTGAAAATAATATCAAAGTTAACTTAAATCTATAAACAGATAAGCAATCAATTGTTAATAATAATAATACCGTAATATAATCTATATTCTATATTCTATATTCTATATTCTATATTCTATATTCTATATTCTATATTCTATATTCTATATTCTATATTCTATATTCTATATTCTATATAATAGATAATTTACCACTCTTTACCTAATCGCTGTCTTCCTTCCCCTTCCGTACTTATAATTGCGAAATAGTATTATGGGGATATCTCACACTTATTTGCAGACAATTTAAGTAATGAAATCATAAATTAAGACGACAACATTGATTTACTCGCGATGACAAGAAAAACAACATTAAATAAAGTGAAACAGCGTGGATAACCCAACTGGACCCACAGACCATGGCGAACCCACTTAAAAATTCGCTCAGCCTGCGCTCACTGAAGCGTGAAGAGGATGAGAAAGTGGAAGGGGAAGCGGAAGAGCTGCTGAGTGGGTAAGTGGGAATAGCGCATTTAGCGCTCCTTGGGTAAGTAAGAGGTCCAGCAAATGCGCAATAGCAAACATTGAAAGCTGACACCGAGCTGAAGCTGGATGTCCACTCCTGCTGGCCGGAGCAGGATGCAAATCTGATCAAGGCGCTCGCATCCAATCGAAAATCGACAATTGGTAATTGGCAATTGGCAATGGGAAATCGGATGAGCACACAGCAATTAGTGCAGTCCAATGTGCTCGACATTTAGGCGGAGGTGCCTCTACCCCGAAATGGGGTAGGGATTCGCAGGTGTTGCGCTTGGCATTAAAATGGCATTCAACGGAACCCATAAAGTGGCAATTAAAATCTTATTTTCGCTTATTATATTTCGACTTCTCCTTGGGCTTGGGCTTTGCGTGCTGAACGCAGCTGCGGGCGCCGCCAATAAACACGTCTACAAATTTTACCCATGCCCAGCTTCAATTCTAAAAAATTTGTCGCCTGAGTTGCCACCTGTTTCCGTTTCGTTTTTTCGCTTGTTGGGGCTGGGGCAGGAGTTGGAG